CACCCACACCCACACCCACCCACACCCACCCACACCCACACCCACACCCACCCACACCCTATAGTAATGATTTAAGTAGAATATATAACTTGAGTGTTATTATTAAGGTTAACCTAGATTATGGATTAAATTTTAGTATTTACATTTACAGTATATACAAAATTTAAATTGATTAAATTGGTGATGATGTTAATGTTAATGATGTTCATAGTTAATGATATTTTTCGTATAGATATTATTTTTCTTTTTTTTCTTTTCTGTTATAACATCGTGTATTTATGTCTTGTTATCTGGTTGAAAATGATCGAATAAGATCGAAAATTTCCATACTAAAATAAAATAAAATAATTCATTATCATATACTACATATTTATTTACTTATTACCTATTCGATAGGCTATCAAAAGTCATTACCAAAAAAAAAGGTTCTTTTATAGAATCAAAAAATGATTTTCCTATTGAAACGATAAGAAAAGCAGTTTCTTAGATTCTTCTTGTCTCTTCATCATATTCTATAACTGTTGTAAATAGAAATTTTCATCGTGATTCTGACCATACACGGTTATAATAATCAACGTAGAAGATATTTACCAAGGCTAAGATTTCCTATCCAAAATATGAGGCTTCAATAACCAATTGATTCGATTTTTGAAAATAGTAAATGATAGAAAATTTAATTGATCGATAATAAAAGCAATATTCTTTATTATCTCTGATAGTCATTGTGTATCCAGTTTCAAGAATCACATTTGATAAATAATTTTTATACTATATAAGATGTTTAAAAAAGTTGCTTAGGTATGTATCGAATTCGATCGGACAGGTCCTATCTTAACTACGATCATTTTAAGTCAATTAATAAAAGGAAGTAGAAGTAAGTAAAAAGAAAAAAATTTCGTGCTCGTCTATGATAGATCTACATACAGTGCAATAAATGGTTCAAAAACTGAAGGTTTGTAGGCATACTAAAAAGAGTCAACAATGTTCAGAAATGTTCGAATCTTACGATGTTTCCATGAATGTGCTCAAGAAACGCTTTGGCAATTATCTAAATATCTGACACTGTCTGTACTATTTGAATAGTTTCCAAACATCGAGCTAGAATTCGATACATGTCTAATGGGGAAAGGGACATTTCGCACCATCTTTTCATTACGATCTCCTGTAGCAGATGTTCGTTACGATTTCCAGACATAAGAAAAAAGACAGGGTGTTCGGAATTAAGTGTACGGGAGTTCGGTATGACAAAAATCAATAAAAAATTGAAAAATCAGGGTGTTCGTAATGAAAGTTGTTTGGAAGATCGTAACGAACATCGACAGTTGCTTTTTTAGAGATAAAATCCTGAAGTTTGTCTGGAGTTCGGAATGAAAATTACCGGGAGATCGTAATAATAAAAACAGTGAGACCGTAACGAAACTTAAGGCAAATAAGTGTAGCGAATGTCTGGAGATCATAATGAAAAAGACAGGGTGTTCGGACCTGTACGTTCACATTTGCTTTTCTTTGAGAAATGTTAAGTGACTTATCAGTTTTTCATATATTCTTGATTATAAAAAAGAAAGAAAAGACTTTATAGCCGTTACGAACATCAGAATAAATCTGCTATGATCTTCTGGTAAATTCGTTACAAACACCCGGTCAGTTTCATGACGATCTTCTGACCTTTTTCATGAAAAATACCCTTCGAGTTACATTCCGAACACCCAGTCTTTTTCATTCCGATCTTCGGACATTACGTCACACATAGTGGTGAGCATTTTGTTCCGAATTCCCGGTGACACCTTTCCGATCTCCCCGTTTTTTCATTACGATTTCCTGTCCAAAATTGATTACGAACTCCCGTCAAAATCTTTTTGGGACAAAATCTCATTTCCGAACACCTGGACACATGTCGGGAGTTCGGAATGACATGGTACGAAATGTCCGTCACCCTGCCTAATGATGATGTTACAAGAAGAATAAGATTCAAAAATCGAGAAACAATGAATGACATATTATATGAACAAATCCCTTCTTTTCTACATTACATTTACTCTCTCATTTATATTTATTTATCCATGAATAATGGCAGTGATGCTAAGAAAAGCTTCTTATCTGATGAGTGGGTTATGTCATTAAATACTTTTTAGATAAATATTCATTAACTGCCATGAGAGAAAAAGACGATAGTATAAAAAGACGAACAATTTCTGTTGAATTACAGTTAATCAAGGTAAGATTTACTGGTACTGTATACTTCTGTTAAGTTTAATATACATGTATTACACAAAAAAAACCAACTATGAAAGCAATTATTCTTCTCGGTATTTGTGCATTACTTTTCATCATTTCAACTTCGGATGGTAAACATTTATTTTATGATAATGATAATGATATGGAATTATCGGATAAAAAAGCTCGGATGTTTCTTCGTTCAATGTTGAATGATGATAGTGATGATGATGATACAGGATCACTTGATACTCGTGAAATTGGCAAGAATTATGTTCCATGTAAATTTGGTATTAATCCTTGTTGTTCACCGAATATTTGAGTTAAGAAATGATTTCATCCGGATGAATGTATGGAAATTAAACCGGGCAAATAAAATGATTTATTAAAAAAAAAGAACAAGACTCATTTTACTTTTAATTTAGCCACGCAATTAGAATTCATTGCTTTTTCTTATCGATATTTTGTATAGAATAAAAAAAAACTGCGTTTTTATTTCTCATTTAAATAGAAAAAAAAAAGAACTTTTTTCTTTTCTTTTACAAATGACATAAATATTTAAACTCATAGTCTTAAATATATCCAATTATATGAGCTTCGGCATATTGAACTGAATTGTCACTACCACGTTTTGAAGTAACAAGAAGTCGATAACTTCTAAAGGCAATTGTATTCGAGAAACTTTGTTGAGAAACATATGTTTTACGACCGGGATCGGTTGATGCAATAATACCTGTTGAACCGTTGTAAATCAATGTCCAACTTGTTCCGGTATTGAGAGCTGCAGTAGTTGTTACATTTGTTCCTTCAAGAGTTACTGTTATTGGATCACGATTAGAAGCATCATTTGCAGTCGCAAAAATAAGACCAACAGCAACAGATGCATTACTTATATTAGGGGTAACATAAAATCCAGTATTTAATCCAGCAGGACTTGAACCAGAACAACCGGATGATGAATCTCCAAAATTGAGGTATTTTGTAGTTAATAAACCATCGATAGCATACGCTGGAATTTCAGTGCCTGGATAATTCACGCCAGATCCACCAATAGATCCACCAGCTACCGTATGACAAATGCCAACAATTGTATTACCTGGTTGTGTTATGGTCACGAGTGAAGGTGTAGTAGTCGTGGTAGCTTTAAATTTATATGAATGAAAAAATACATATATATATTAAGGAATCTTCAAGAGTCTCTTATCGATATTTTTTGATAGAAAAATCATGGACATCAATATTACTTTTAGCATCATTCTCTGCCAATAACAAATAGATGAAAAGATAAGATATATTCTTCTATGAATTTTTTTAAAATCATTTTACAAAATTTAATCGAAACTCAATTAATAAATCTTCATTGAACACATGCTGATATGTAACATTCAGCATACGATTCAATTAATCTGATTTTGATATTTATTTGAAGATACGAATAATTTTATTTTAAAAAATTATCTACAAATATTGGTAACACGACTTTTGCGCTTCACACAATTACTCTCTGGACACTTATGTCCTCAACGAAACTTACTCTTCGGACAATGGCTCCTGCAATACTTGCTCTGGTGATGGAGGAATGATAGTAAAAATGATTGCGAAGGAAAGGATGAGGAAAAGGAAAAAGTCTATGTTTAACTTAAGTGCTTTTCTGATAGTTTTTGATTGTTGATAGTTCTAACTAAGAGTCATAGGAAAGAAAATATCGCGGGAACAACTGTCGTTTTGGGAGCATTTATACGTGAAGCAATATTCATGGATTCGTAAATATTCGATATTATTCCTGAATTCATACAATGAATGGAATATGTTATTAAAATGAGTAAAACAAAAACCTATTTCTCAATTTAGTTAATCATTCTAGTTAAATTTCTCAAGAATATCAACAACCATCCATGAATGTTAAAATGATCGTTTTTATCGTCGAAAATCTTTTGCAAAAAATGAAATACTAGATATATCATCATAAAGATCTTACCGGTTGTCGTTGTTGTTGCTGTTGTTGTGGTCGTTGTTGTTGTTGTTGTCGTTGTTGTTGCTGTTGTTGTTGTTGCTGTTGTCGTTGTTGTTGCTGTTATCGTTGTTGTTGTGGTTACTATATGCAAATATTCAAATTTATCTTAAAAGGTTTTTGTCTAAGTTTAAACAAAAATTTTGATGCTATAATTTTATTTCCTTGAGATTTACAAGAAAATTTATTCTCAATATAATTATAAGATAGATCATAATATTTGACTAATGAAAAGATTACTTTCTAAGTTGAAAACAAAATAAATAAAGTATTACTTGTCGTAGTGCTAGTTATGGCTGTTTTTATATTAATTAGTACATAAATACCAATTGCCAAAGCAATTAAAACGATCATACCAATCAATATTCCATAATAGATAATCGATAGTTTTCTTGCCGATATTCTACAATAAAGAAAATACATTCTTAAAAAACGGCAAATTAATATCATTAATGTGTGTGTAATTTTTTCGAACAACTCGTTTAATTTATGAGTAACTAAATCCTGTTAAATAAATGACAGATAGTTTAATATCCTCTTTTCTTTTTCTTCATAGATCGTTGTCGCTATAAAATATTCATATTTTATAATAACACATGAAGTGATATCTGAAGGTCTTTGCCTCACCTCAAACCGTGTTGTGATGACAATTTAATATCATTTGGTTTCGATGATAATTCAAGATCATTGGATGCCGGTGACATAACGGAGGATAATTGATTCATTTGAATTTGATCGTATGGCAATGGCACATTCGTGGATAACAAGGTCTGAGGATCTTTAGGATGCTTTTTGTCTGATATTGAGTGAGCAATTGCATGAGTTACAGGTTTGATCTGTAAAGAAAAATTTTGATTTCTGATATATGTTCGTTGAGTATTAATTTTTTTTTAATATAGTCATACCTTAATTGTTCGCTTTGGTCTTATTAAAACTGATACATAACTAAATTTGGATTTTTTCATGATAAATAAATTCGAAAATGTATACTTATACAAGACGAATAGAATAAGATTGAATAGCTTTTTATAATAAATGCTAAAAGAAATATAGTTCTTCTATAAATGAATGTTGCAGAATTCTTTGATCTATCAATAAAGCAACGTTTTTTATTCTTCAATACTTGAAATTGATATAAGATTTTTTTCAGACGTCAACAATAGAATTTTTTTTCTCAAATAACCAATATATTCGATTTGATTGTATTTTTTTTTTATTATAATGCACAATGGAATATAAAAAAAACAGTAAAATTCAATTATTGGAGAATATAATTTACTTTTCCTTTCATTTCAATAAAATAATCTTGAGACGACCAATCTCTCATCTCAAGAAACACATTTTATAAACTTCTTTTAATTCAATCAGTATTTTTTTTGTCATTGAGGCCGTATGACGTGAAGGAATATGAAGTTCGAATTGTATTACAGTGAAAAAAAAATATTTTAACCTCAGATAAGTTTTAAGTTGGTCATGAAAAAAAATATAAATAAAATTACGAGTAAGTGTTTGACAGGAGTAGAGCTAAAGATGTGTCCATATCAACATGACTTTCTTATTTAACAAGTTCAACAACTTCATGCACACGAAAAAAAGAGTTTAGCTAGGGTTCTGTAATCAAATAGGTAGTAGTCGATATTGAATGTTATTGATTGAATGCTTTTCGCTAGAGATGTATATATATATGAAAATGTTTATTTACATTCGCTGTACTTATACTAGAGACCATGAAAGGTTAAAATATCAGTAGTTGATGATATCGTCACTTGTTCTTTTTTATATAATATATATCATTAAATATTAGTATCGTTTCTATTTATCTGACTCATCTGATATCCAGTGTTCTCTTTTCTGTCAAAGAAATCAGCATACCACATTTCAATGATAAAATATCAAAAAATGAATTAGTTCTATTTTTGTGCCATGATAGCTTTTAAAATAGCCAATAGAGAATTGTCCCATTTCATTTACATTGCAATTGAGTTTTTCTCTTTATTTCTTTCTTTTACAATACAATTACATACATTTTTCTTCCCATGTAATATTATGAATATTCTCTTTTGTTCGTCTTCTTGTTTCTGAAGTGCCAAATAAACAATAGAAGATTTTTTTGTTTTGATTGTTCCTTTTATATATTATATTCACTCATTCTCTCTTCCCACGAATGTTTATTTGCGTTCTAGTTTCGCTTGTTGAGCAGTTGAGAATATTTAGTACTCTAAAGAAACATGTTCCTTGCATATGGTTTTAGTACAATTATATTTCTTGTACAATTACATACGCGCATATGTACAGGTGGATACAAATATGCGTGAATATGAGAATATTCAAATCGAATTATTTTTCAAACATTTTTGATAGGAAATTATTCACAATGAGAAGAGAACAGCACGCTCAGCATATCATTTTGGAAGTTCTTTAAAGCTACATAAGTTTATCTGATCTTAGTAAATTGGAAATAACAATAAAATGAAAGATGGACCACTCGTTGAAGATTTAATATATATATATATAAATGGGGTCACTTTTCACTTTTGAGTGTTGAACACAGAAAAATGAAAGGAGTACTGTGCTCTAAACTATTGTTGTTTTAATTCTATCACGAAGTAATTTTGTTTTGCCAGTTTAAATCAAAGCGAACATAGAATAACAAAAAAGAGAAAGCACAGCCAACGTATGAATGACTACGGTTATTCAGTCAAGAAAAAGGAATAGTTGATTCAACTACAGTAGAATATAATAAATAGATTCCAACATAATGGATAACACATTAAGGACATTCATAGATGATTTGTAGTTTATCTGGTGACACGACATTTACGTGGAGCGTGGGTGTGAGCTGTAGCTGTGAATGTGGGTGTTTCTTTCTGAGTCCCATCCAACCTTACTCAGAGCTGCTCGAGTCTGAGTATGGCTCAGATCTCGAAATTTTCTGTTTACTGGGTTTGGGTGCGGGTTGTGGTGGAAGGGAGGATTAGAGTCTGTCAATTCCAAAATTTTTGGATCCGAACTCAGACGCGACTTATTGAGTGTCTTTCAAACCCTGTGCCGATTCATGCTCGGTCCAATAACTTTCTTTGGAGCCGAGCTCGGACCCCACCAGAACCTAATCCGTGCTCATAATGTCCTTAATAAAATTTTTAATGTATCTATGTAGGCACTTCAAAGGCACAAGATGCTTTTCGCTTATTTAGATTGAGTAACTAGCATGCCCTACACGTTTCTGTGGATGGGATGTGTGGTAGGTAGACCCCGTCGGGTAGGACCCGGACCCTACCCGGACCCGGGTCTGAAAATTTTTTATAATCGGGTCCGAATCTGAGAGTTTTTTATAATCGAGTCCGAGTCCGGGTCCAGGTCCAGATCCGGGTCCAAAAACTGATTTCATACAAATAATGACTTTCTAAATATTTTTTCAGCTGTTGTTCATTTTATTCAAAAAGTAATTATAAATTAACATATAAAAAATAGAAAAAAAAAACTTGTTGAATATAATTTGTAAGTCGTATATCTGCTAGAGAAAACAAAATAATATGATGCTGTTTTAAAATGTTTTTTTTTATAAATAAGATTTGGCAAAATTAAATCACGTATTACTGTTAGGGTGTGGGTGTGGGTGTGGGTGGGTGTGGGTATGGGTGTGGGGTGTGGGTG